GCAAGCCTCAGGAAGGAGTAGACCAAAACAGGAAGGCAAAATTGATGGAACGAATCGTGAAAAGATCTGGAGGGGGGAAATGAGCGCCGGGGGAGAGAGGCTTCAGAACGTCTGGTGTGTTTCGGGCTCGGCAGAGGGCATTGTGACCTCGGGTTACTCGGGGTGACCAGCGTGACTCGCTCTCTGTCACGGACGTTGGACAGACGCCCCTTTTTGCCGCCCATTCCCCTCCCCTTGACGCCCACCTTCCATTTTCGGACCATTTCCTTTCTTAGCCCATCCCAGTTTGGACATTGTAGATACGTTCCCACACCCGCATGCTACGTTCCCGTGATCGCCATGCCTTTGCCTTTTCCTTCCTGCCCTTTGTTCTCCCTTTGTCATCTTCACTGCCTCGCTCTCGCGCCTTGTCTTTGGTTGCTAAGCAGCCCTTCTAGTATATAAGGACCCCCTTAGGCACTCCCTAGTCCCCATCTCAACCTCTTGGTCATTGGGACTAGGTGAGTGACCATAGCGTTGTATCTCTCTTCAATTGCTAATGTATAACTTGGTCATTGGGACTAGTCTGTCGCTGTCTGCGTGAAGACTAGCTTTCGTCGGTCTCGTGCCTTCGTGCCGACCGCCGCTCTGCCCTGTCGAGTTTTCTGATACGTTTATCCCTCTCTCCCTCTCTCTTCCCCTTTCGGCTCCTCGCTGCTCGCCTACGAGGCCGTCGCCGAACGTCGACCCGAGTCTACGCGCCTAGTCGCCGTGACATTAGGTCGAGATCTCTCCCCCGGTGCTGACGCTCTGAACAAGAGTGTCCCCGCCGCCGCTACATTGCCTCCCCCACCCTAGACTGCGCTGGCAGACTTCACGCGTGGGACGCAGAAGACCAAGACTACTGTCACCGACGGAAGGACCTAGACGACGGACTCTGGTACTGGGTACCGTGCGAGCAAAACCCCTGCCCGAACCGTCATCACCGTCCTGCTCGGATCAACTGGAACGCCTTTTCGGACGAGTTCATCCCAGTCCCTGACTCCCCTGTTGCTGAGTCGCCCACGACTCGATCCCCCATCCCCGGTACTCCGACTGACGAGCTTGAAGTAGCGCTACTCATCGCGCTTCCCCCATCCCCTATCATCCCCCCAACCCGTCCACCGTCCGCTCCACCCATCATGGGACAACAAGGTGGACAACCGCAGACGACAGGCCCCGCCAACAACCCCCAGCAGGCCCAACCGGGCACCCAGACGGCAACGCAACCCCTGGACCCCATGACGGTATTACTCCAGTCGATGACTCTCCTCACTCAGTCCATGGCGCAGCTCGCCAACTCGACCACCGGGGCCAACAGCCTGAAGGCGGTTCAGAAGCCCTCTCCCTTCAAAGGCGAACAGGGGGGCGAAGCACGACGCTTCCTGGCCGCGTTCACTCTCTGGGCCATGTCCCAAGGATCCACGCTCAACCACGTGGACGCCACGGGCAACGCAATCAGCGCGCGCGACGACCAGTGGATTCGGGCAGTCCTCTCCTTCATGCAGGACAGTGCGGCTCTCTGGGCCACTCCGGCAATGGAGGAGATCACGCAGGGCACCACTCCGTTCAAAGGCTTGTGGACGGAGTTCCGCACCCAGTTCAAGGCCCGATTCGAGACGGTCGACGAGGCAGTCGATGCGAGGGAACACCTTCGTACGTTATGGCAAGGGTCCATGACTGTTCCGGAGTACGCCGCCCGGGTCAACGAGCTCTCCACCCACACGGGCTACTCCAAGGCCGACCTCCGAGACTGCTTCTACGAACACCTGGCGGACTCTATCAAGGACGAGTTGGTGCACACAGCGAGGCCCATCGCTTCTCTCGAGGACCTCATCACTGTCTCCTCGGACATCGACGTTCGCGTCCGCCAACGCCGTGCCGAACGAGATCGTCAACGTGGACGCACCACGACAACGACAACTACCGTGAAGCCCACGGCCCCGCTGCACACCACCCCCTTCGTGCCTCCGTCGAGGGACCCAAACACCATGGATATCAATGCAACTCGGACGCGCGAAGAGTTCAACCGCCTCATGCGCGGCAAGTGTTACGGCTGCGGGTCTACGGCGCACGTTAAGAAGGATGGTGGCCACGACCGGGACATCTGTGGCTACTGTCGCCGCATAGGGCACCGCGAGACAGTATGCATGGACAAGTTCCTGAAGAAGCCCCGCTCGCAGAAGCTCGCTGCCACAGAGGAAGGACCAGAGGAGCCCCAGGTTGCAGCGTCAACGTCGACGTCTGCGGAAGCCGGAGCAACCAACGCCCTCATCGCCCAGCTCATGGAGCAGCAGAAGGCCCTCGCGGACCAGCTCGCCTCCCTGCAGAAGTCTTTTTAGAGCGGGCACGTGCGAAAGCTGCCGCAGCGGCGCCCTCCAGTACAACTACGGACTCTCCGCCTCCCCACATCCCTGACCCCTGCCTGTACGATAGCATTAGTTCGTGTATCATCCCCGAATAAAACCCATCCAGCTCGCATTTTCGTGTCAGCGTGATACTCAAAGGCAGGAACCGTAGTGTACGTTCCGCAGCTATGATAGACAGTGGGGCAACGGCCCTTTTCATCAGCCACCATTTCATAAAGAAAAACAACGTCTACTTACATAGGTTAGCTAGAGACATCCCCCTCTATAACATCGACGGCTCCAAGAACAGTGCAGGCAGCATATCCCATTACGTTAGGTTACAAGTACTTATGAGCGACTACACGGAATGGCTCGAGTTCTTAGTTACAGATCTGGGCCCCGAAGACGTCGTATTAGGCTTACCTTGGCTTCGCAGGGTCAATCCGGACATTGACTGGCAAGAGGGCACCATGGAGGTTGGTGCGGAGGAAACCGAGGCCGAGGCGGAATGGAAACCCGGTATTGAGCGGATCGCCGCCAACCAGGTGCAGCGAAGGAAGTGGTGGAAGGCTAAGGTCCTAGAGGACACGACCGAGGAGCTGTGGTGCGCCGCCGGGTACACCTACTCCACGGAACTCGTACAGAAGGCCAACCAGGACAAGCCTAAACGCACGTTCGAGGAGATCGTCCCTGAAGAGTACCGACAGTACTCGAAGGTCTTCTCTGAGACCGAATCGGAGCGCCTTCCAGAGCACAAGCCGTACGACCATGCTATTGACCTCAAACCCGACGCCCCAGAAACTCTACGCTCCAAGGCCTATCCGATGTCGCCTAATGAGCAAGAGGAGGTCGATCAGTTCCTCGAGCAAAACCTTCGGAAAGGCTACATTGTCCCCTCCAAGTCCCCGATGGCGTCCCCGGTCTTCTTCGTGAAGAAGAAGGATGGCAAGCTCCGTCTAGTCTAGGACTATCGCAAGCTCAACGAGATCACGGTGAAGAACCGGTACCCTCTCCCCCTTGCATCGGACATCATCAGTCGCCTGCGCCAAGCCAAGTACTTCACCAAGTTTGACGTCCGTTGGGGCTACCACAACGTCCGCATCAAGGAGGGCGACGAGTGGAAGGCCGCGTTTACAGTCCACGATCGAGGCCTATTCGAACCGCGGGTCATGTTGTTCGGACTCACCAACTCCCCCGCTACGTTTCAAGCCTTGATGAACTCAATCTTCGCTGATCTGATCGCCGCAGGAAAGGTTGCTGTCTACCTCGATGACATCCTCATCTTCAGCACCACCCTCGAAGAGCATCGCGCCGTAACCCACGAGGTGCTGAAACGACTCCAGGAACACGACCTCTACCTGCGACCGGAGAAGTGCGAGTTTGAGAAGATGGAGGTAGAGTACCTCGGCCTCATCATCCGCAAAGGCGAGGTGGCCATGGACCCGGTCAAAGTCAAGGCCGTCACCGAGTGGCCAGCCCCCAAGAACCTGCGCAACTTACGCGGCTTCCTAGGGTTCGCCAACTTCTACCGCCGGTTTATCAAGGACTTCTCCAAGCACGCGCGACCGCTCAACG